ATATAAAAATGGCTGATACGACAGCGCCTGCCACGGTCATATTTTAAACTACTTGTTTGGAATATATGAATCTGACTGTGTATACATACTTATGTAAAAGTTGAATACTGGCACTTAAATATAAACGAGTGTTATTTTGTCATTGGTACGATAGAAATTATATTGCGTGTTACTATTTCAAAAAGACTATTTTCGTTGATATAATTTTAGTTTTCATTTAATTTTAATGCAACACTAATATCTAGTTCTAATTCCTTTTTTTTTGTTGACTTGATTTAAAAATGACCCTACAATATCTTCTCAGAACAATGACATGTTACAGTCAATATAAATATTGTCAAATGTGATTCAAGCAAAGAAAGAACTATCTCGAATGGTATCCTAAACAGTATAACAGTTAAAAAAATACGTATAATTATTTCCTGATAATTCAATACTAAATTATGATTATACAGCGACAGAAAACATAATAATAGGCCTATCGAAAACTAGCCTTAAAAGCAAACACCATTTAATATACAAAGACGAGATACTTCACTATTAGTATTATGCGTCCATCATGTGTCGTACATGGTTGTCTAGACATATTAAGGTTAGAAAATGAACAATGAAGTCATTAATTTTTCTTTACTGTCTACACTTTTCATCTACCAGTCATGTTTTCACACAAGACCTACTGTATTTAAAATTTTCCTTACTGATAGAAGCTCTGATTGAATATGTACTGCACCAAAACAGGTAAATAAACTTTTGTCTAAACAATATGTTTCAAACCGATCAAATAACCGTCCAGCTGCACTAAAACCTGGTACCGTACGTTAAATTTGGCACGAAAGAAATGGTTATTCAATATTGATAAAACACTCAAGTTAGAGTCAAACGAATAAGATATTTTATTATAGTAAATTTACAGATCGATATTGGTGTTATAAACGCATTAATAAGGTAGTTAATTTTGAAAATTCAATTTAATGAGATGGTGGAATTGTTGTAAACAACCACGAACAAGCTTTTCGAAAACTTGAAGCGATTACTATTATTTATCTGGAAACAATCTAACGTAACGACAAAATTACAAAGATCTACTACATTGCGTTTAACTTATGATATAACAAAAAGGTAAAGTGAGACAGAAAATATAAGGATTATGTTAAATTTTTCACAAACCGATACATAAGAATATGAATTTCATATACAGCAAGTGTTATGCCTATACTAGAAAATTACATAATGAAAGCTTATGTCTGAGATAATATTATCTTATTTTAGATTACAGCCTACTCAATTATATTGTGGAACAACATTATATGTCAGACTGTTTGTTATGTTTAGATTATAGCAGTAAAACAAAGCACTTGTTTGTTGTAGTTGGTTAGCTTTCTCTGTAATATGTTTACATAGATCACTTAAGTTAATAACAATATGTTTGGATTGGCCGAGATAGCAAAAGAAACATACTTATCAGACACACATATATGAAATAATAGATGTGTGCTTAATTGTCCGATGCCAATTTTCTTTTTCAGGTCTAAATTACTGCAAACAATTGGCAAACCTTTAAACAACTTTATTGTAGTGATAACATAAGTCGACAGATGGCAGTAAAAAACGAGTTTCATACAGTACTTCGAGATATTTCAAACTAAGAACCTAAATTAGCCTCTTTTAACACGCAAAATTAATTTGTTATCAGTGTTGTACTAAGGAGTTTTTAGAATTATGTTAATATATACATGAAAAAACGTATCAGTGAAAATGTGTTTATAAATGTTTATTATTATTAAGATTGACGCTATACCTTCATCACACACTTCTTATAGTAATGAAATTAACCTTTCTTGGTAATTAAAACTAAAGGTAATGTTTGAGCACGTGTATGAGTGAAATAATTTTTGAACATGTGTAGATTAAACTAACCTATTTTCTAAGCACACATATATAGATCTTCTAAACATTTTACACATGTATATATAAGCTTTTTCTGGGTGTGAACAAAAATTTACCTTTCTGGAAGTATATAATTAAACTAACATCTTTTAGACATGCAAAAATTATAACTAATATTTCGAGAAAGAAATGACTAAATTCGGTTTGCAACATGAAATAAAATTTCTACACAAACATGTCAATGGGTATTAATTAAGCACTTACATATGCTAATAAGAAAGTTCTTACAAGGCCGGTTACAAGGAGGAATTGAGTATTTTAATCTAAATAACACCTTATTCGACACTTGGGTTCAACTGTCAGATAAAGAGACCCCAAGGTTTAGGCAGAGCCATTCCTAATTTAGATCTGCTGATTAGAAGGAAAAGAGACATCAGATTCGCTGTTTACAATGCTGCTCTTCACCGAATAACGGGATTGACTAACATATTTATGACATACCTATACTTAAAAGTAAGAAACATGTTCAGTGGCATATCGAAGGATCGAACCTTGGAACTTTCGATCCGCAGACCGGCAGGTTAATCATAAGGCCGTCACTAAAGGACGTACCAATAAGTTACTTACAAAATATTAAGATTCTATAATTTGTAAACTTGTATATATATGTATACATATCACAATGTAATACAAATTTCTATCGATATATTTAAATACGCAACTAAATATAAAAAAAAAACATCTTGAAGAAATATACAAAAGGTTGCAAAAAAAAGTAATATAGAACACTTGGTTTATCATCTAAACAACAATGAAATGTTTGCTAAGAAATACTTATACATTAGTGTGATTGGTATTAATCAGTTGAAATACTTACACATTAGTGTGATTGGTATTAATCAGTTGAAATATTTACACATTAGTGTGATTGGTATTAATCAGTTGAAATACTTACACATTAGTGTGATTGGTATTAATCAGTTGAAATACTCACACATTAGTGTGATTGGTATTAATCAGTTGAAATACTTACACATTAGTGTGATTGGTATTAATCAGTTGAGATACTTACACATTAGTGTGATTGGTATTAATCAGTTGAAATACTCACACATTAGTGTGATTGGTATTAATCAGTTGAAATACTCACACATTAGTGTGATTGGTATTTATCAGTTGAAATACTTACACATTAGTGTGATTGGTATTAATCAGATGAAATACTTACACATTAGTTTGATTGGTATTAATCAGTTGAAATACTTACACATTAGTGTGATTGGTATTAATCAGATGAAATACTTACACATTAGTTTGATTGGTATTAATCAGTTGAAATACTTACACATTAGTGTGATTGGTATTAATCAGTTGAAATACTTACACATTAGTGTGATTGGTATTAATCAGTTGAAATACTCACACATTAGTGTGATTGGTATTAATCAGTTGAAATACTTACACATTAGTGTGATTGGTATTGATCAGTTGAAATACTTACACATTAGTGTGATTGGTATTAATCAGTTGAAATACTTACATATTAGTGTGATTGGTATTAATCAGTTGAAATACTTACACATTAGTGTGATTGGTATTAATCAGTTGAAATACTTACACATTAGTGTGATTGGTATTAATCAGTTGAAATACTTACACATTAGTGTGATTGGTATTAATCAGTTGAAATACTTACACATTAGTGTGACTGGTATTTATCACTTGAAATACTTACACATTAGTGTGATTGGTATTAATCAGTTGTCCTCTTACTGTCAAACATAGATACTTATAATTGATAGACATTTATAGTCAAATACACATTAGGATAAACATTTATCAACACCTTACTAAGACTATTAAGTAGTTAACTAAGGTTCTAGGTAATGCTTAACAAGCAGACTTACATCATAATACCCTAAGCGTAAAGAAATCCAGTTTTGGTAGAACTTTTATCATTTTGGGCAACTTAATGACATCCCATAAACATCTCTATAAAGTAAGACATTTACACTTATTTGTTGCTATACCAACTATATATTTATACAGAAAAAACAATTTAGCCTTAGCTGGTGAATCCCTACATATGCTATATATAATAAGGCAGACTTATCTCATGAAACCCAAAGCATATGTCTATGAAATCATAATAATTTTTATTTCTATTTACAGGAAGACGGTCAGGCTTATTTTGTGAATAACGGTATATGTGTGTGTGCAGTTCGGTTTGCCAGGTGAATATCCAAGTATGTTTATATAAAATAAAGGTATACTTTTTAAAAATAAGACAATTGATAACTAAATAGAGAACGTATTGTTTAAAAATACAATATGCCTAATACTAATGTCTTTCGATAAGTATAGTTATAATCATGCTTTGCCAGCTTTTAAAAGGCTTCACACCACAACGATTATGAATAATAAAATATAATGTAACTAACTACAAAAAAAAGATTAAATTATTACTTATAAAGCACATAACTTAAGAGAGAAGAGCTACCAAAACATCTCATAAATACTGGATATTAAAATCAGATTTTTTTTGTATTATATGTTATTGATTTTTAGGGTAAGCAATTATTTATGAGAATCAGAAATCACGTATAAGTACCAACATTAAGTGCCCACAATTGCTTGTGATTATACTGTTATTTATTTGAGAAAATAATGTTATTTATCTGTGATAAACTTTTATTCATGTTCATACGTGCCAACCTCAGCAAGGTGGGCACAGGAATTTTCGTTTTTATTTTTGTAATGGCAGTTCCGTTTCAATTTTGGACGTAGATGTTCTGGGTATAATGTAAAGTGCACCAGAATGAAACGTTTTCCATGATGAAATTTATTGTTTTCTGAGAGGAGCATACACCCGGCTCCCTTGGACGTACCTCTTTAGTTACTGAGCTGTTACTTCGAAACATTCCGGCATACAGTCGTCTAGTTTATATTGTAAGACTTTAGGCTTATATCGTCAATCACCAGTTATCGTGTGTTTTCATATAAAGTAAGACAGCTGGGTTAGATAATGTAATACTAAATATGATTCTTTTTAGTTTGGCTTAGGTGATGAACTACGAATATGATCTTATACAAAGTTAGGCATTCAGACTTACCTGATGAAAACCCAGGTATGTTTCTACGGTGTGGGAGGCGTAAAAAACTTCTCCTTCGCACGTCAAAATCAGCAGGAAACCGTTGAGAGCCTGGAGAGAAAGTATGGGCGTTAACTAAAACAAGCTATGAATAATTGAATACATATTGAATTTATATCAACGCGGGAACGTTGTTTCCAGTAAATAATATACATATATATATATGAAAGGTCGATGAGAACAGGGACTAACTGTTGGAAGGGGGCTGGGCTCATTAAACCAGTACTCGCAAAGCAGTTTTCGATCCGATCACGACATTTTTACATCCATAAGGATACTCGCGCTACTAAATTCGTGTCACATTAGACATGTATGAAACGTGATGCCTTCTGATACCATCTTTGCTCCGCTGTTGGTCTTAACATTTACTATAAATGGTATTATCCTTTTACTAGGACATCATAAGGAGGCTAAAGTACAGTTCTTACCTGTGATAAATATACGAGATAATCCGATTATCCTAAACATATAATTTTTATAGCGAAGAAAATGTCGTTGCGCTATGAAATCAGTTTGCAAGTTTTATTTTGATGTAAAATATACTTCAACAACAACAACCAGAGATGAATTAGTGGGCGTTTATGTAGAGAGATTTATTTAAACAACTATATTACTGTTGAAATGAGGGGTTTGATTCCCCTCGGTGAACAGAGCAAATAGCCCGATGTGATTTTGCTATAAGAACACACACACACTGTCTTTTTAAGTCCAGCTTTAAATGATGTCCTTGCTTTGTTTGGGTTCGCAAGTTAAGACTAAACTAAAGCCTACCGTTATAAACTGAATAAATCTAAAACCTAATAAATGAATATTTTCACAGTTTTTGAGACTAGAAAAATCTAAGTTCATTCAACGTCAATCAAAACCCATATGTCTGAAATGGTAGAATGAAAGAAAATTTAGATTATGAACCAGAATGGCACCGTATATTACACGCAGGTTTGATCTTTGAGATGATCAACCCAGTTTATAACTGCTGGCCAAAGGAGAGCAAAAAATAATCAGTAGCACTTGCCGTCTGATATGGGACATTGAATAGCGGAATTGACTGTCATAACTATAATGCCCGCACAGTTCAAAGTGCGGAGCTTTTTCAGCTGCCTTGGACTCTCAGATCCGCAGCCCAACGCTTGGCCTTACACGGATCACAAGAAAGAATTGTTTTTCCTGTAAAATAGTTCCTACAAATATTTTCAGGCTGTTATATGATGCAGTAGGAATGTCAAAAATGATGAAATCCACGAAGTTGTTTATTTTTCTTATACCCTGCTTACGTTCTAAAAACAATCAAAACTGTTATTAAAACAGCATGTAAAGACGAAAATGTATATGCTTACTGTACCTATCAATACAAGTCTGTTCTATTCGTGTTTGTACGCGGCTAGTCACTTTTATCATTGCAACTTTTATGAAAGATTTTCCTTTTTTGGTCGCCTCCCAGTTGCTCAGCGGTACTGAACATTTATAACGTTATAAAGCGGGTTTCGATGCCGTGGTGGGCACAGCACAGACAGCCCATTGTGTAGCTTTGCATTTAACAGCAAACAAAAACCATGACTCTTAGAATACTAAAATTATATACGTGAGAATGTAGTTTGCAGTTTATATCTCGATAAAGCACATTTCGATGACACCATTTTTTGCGTTTTATTTTATTCTTACTTAAAAGTAACGGTGACAGTTTTCGCATGTTTAACTGTTCTTTTAGTTTGGTAAATATTGTTATACCTCATTTATTAAATATTCAAAGATCAAGTTATAGGTACATTAGTTCTAGTCTGAAAACAATAATATAAACTTTATGTGGTCTGGGTGTAGCCTAGTGGCAAGTTGCGGGTCGGAAAGTCCAAGGTTGGAGGCACGATACCGCTGAACACGTCCCGCACATTCAGCTGTGATCACGTTATAAGGGTGAAGTTAATCCTGTTATTCCGTTCCAGAAGTCAGATAGAGTCCTTGTGGCGGCAGGTGTTGCTGATTGGTTGCCCTTTCTACAGTCAGTAGTTCCAAATAATATACAGCTATATCTAAGCCGTAAGGGTCACTTGACCCGGCCGCTTAGCCCATTTAGTTAAAATTATAAAAAGTATGTATTAAAACACCAATTTGATAGCCAGAATGATCGCTATATAAATCAATAGAACTAAAATACATGAATGTATATATTTTTTCCCTATACCCTGTGTACATAAAATAGCGAACACAACACACATTTATTGAACCAATACGTTAATATAAAAAAAACAAAAACGTGTGTATCGCATGTATAAAACCATCTTAAGAAAACCCTGTTAATATTTACATATTAATGAACAATGCCATTCAAATACTTATAATACTTCAAGGTGCCGGTTAGTTTCATTTCCACTGACTTAACAGTCAAATTGGTCTATAAAACAAAATTTATGACAATCGGATGTCTGCCGCGAAATTATTTGGACGCATGCACATGAGTACTTTTTACACATTGCTCAGTGTGAATTTAGTATTTTGTATATAAGACTTTCTTTTCATGCATGAATGGCTTCTAGAATAATTTCATTGGAGCTTCAAAACTTTTATCCATTACCCTTGAGCTCCTTTAATTTTTTTTTTATTCATAGCCTGTTTTTTATATAATTTAAAGCGATATCTTAAACAGCTTATGCTCTTGTAGTAATGTCAAGAATGGTATAGTAACTGACAACTAAGACCAAGTTTTGGCGTTTTCCAAGTCTTATACTTATCTAAAAATGATCAGAATAGTGAGACTTCAGACACGATCAATTTCCTCTGGTTTATCAGAGCGCAAATCAAAAACCCTTAACAAGAAAGACTTTCCTGAAATTGAATCGATGGCGCTGACGTTCTATCAAATGTAAACTTATTAGATACCTATAAAATAGACTTTAGAACAGCTTTAAATCCTTTCGTCATTAGAGGATTAGCATAACAACGTTTACGCTGACAAGAAGACAGAAAACCAAGACTTCTTAGTACTACAAAATGAAATGCATTATCCTAATGCGTATATATATAACTGTGTATATATTTAAATGGCAGCATAAACGCATCTTCATGTCCCCTAATGGGACAGCTGTAAGTTACAGACTTACAACGCTAAAACTCGGGGTTCGATTCCCCGATGTGGTCAATCTAGCTATGCTCTGAAACAAACAAACGTATGCCCATTGCAAAATAATAATATCGAAATATTTTGAAAGATAAAACAAACGATTTTTAACACCCCCTGCGACATTAGAATTACCCAATGAAATACTTCATTGTAAATATGTATTTAAATAAGCATTTCTGTTGCATATGTCACATAAGTATGCATCTCAAGTAACACTTTCAAAATATATGTTTGTATATCATTTGCTCATCGAAAATCAAATAAATAAACCAGCAATTTGATCTATCTATTCATACGTTAATTTATCCATCCAATTGGGTAGCTAAGATTCTTTTGTTTTAAAATCGTTAAGTTTTTTTTTTTCAGAGTTTGGTTTTGAATTTCGCGCAAAGCTACACGAGGGTTATATGCGCTAGCCGTCCTTAATTTAGCAGGGAAGGCAGCTAGTCACCACCCATTGCCAACTCTTTTATCCAAGAATAGTGGAATTGACCGAAACATTATAATGCCCCCACGGCTGAAAGGGCGAGCATGTTTGGTGGGACGGGGGGATTCGAACCCGCGACCCTCAGATTGCGAATCGAGTGCCCTAACCACTCGGCCATGCTGGGCCCCCCTTTTTTCTTTTGAGATAGCATTATAACGACCATTATTTAGAAAGAACTAAGTAAGAAAAACTATAATAAAAAGGTATTATTATAGGTGACATGAGGTATAGACGATTAATATGTCTACATTCGGCCATATAGCCTTTCTTTGACATAAACGCTGAGTAATTTAACTCAATTTTACAGCTCTGTAACCTTACTACAGTTACTAATAACTGTTACTATAGTTATTTGCAGTTTCAATACATACAGAATTCATCTTACAATTACGAAGAGTTGAACCCTCCAGTGGCTCAGCGGTAAATCTGCAAGATTATGACGCTGAAACCCATTGTGTAGTTTTGTGCTGAACAACAACTAAGCCCAAACCAAAGCCTAGAGTTGTTTGTTTTAAAATAAAATGGGGCAAAAAACTATATTTGAAAACTTGAAATTCCCATTCGTTCGGAGTTGTCTGATAAATCCCCATTTCACTTCTCCTCGAACGTTTCAAACGATACAATCCCTCATCAAGGAAATTGGTTTTAATATAGGTAAGTACTATCCGCACGTATATTAGTCATTCAATACCACAAGTAAAAATGATTGTTATGATAACGGTGGCATCAGTCTTAACAGCGGATTTCAACTCAATAGTTATGACTTTTACTATCATATTCTCCCTCTAGACACATGAGTATAAAAAGACGTTCTAAACTTTAGTAATGACGATAATAGTGGAGTAGAAATAGAATGGGAAAAATACTGTACGTAAGAGAAAATTTAACGTACCAAGGTACATGCGTACATTTATACCGATGAAAGTTACGAGAAAAATTCAATATGCAAAAACCGATGAAAACCATGAGAAAAATTCAATTTCTAAGTGATGAAGTTTGATGTTTTACTTATAAATGATATATTTTAGTAAAAATAGGGAATGGAAATAGAGTGTATGAGGGCATTAACAGGAATGAAGGCAGGAATTAATGATAAACCAAGCTTCGCTCAGTTCTTTCTTTCGACTATATACATCCACGTAGACGGTGGTATATCTTTCCCTTGGGAACCGTACAGCCTAGCATAAGTTCTGGAACTACGAAGGGGCGGATCCGTTTGGAGATACCTAAAGCTGGCAGATTGGAGGAACATGGCCATTCTTTTCCTGCGGGGAGGGCTTTAGGGTGACCACGTCTGGGCACGATGTATTTTGGTGGTTGCCATGGCAACTAGGAACCGGGTGTCGACGTCTGTACGCAGGTAGTTTGAAACTAGACCTCCATGGTGTGCTTCCATAACTGATCGCCGTCCAAAAAATCTGCAAAAGTCTGGGCTGCAGCTATTCACTA